TGAAACAAACTTTTTATTATCATGCAATGATCAACCCTCTTGAATTCTAGTAATGCTTTCTTGCCTTCAAATCTCTCTTCTTTGGTGGTAATATAGTTATACCCGTTTTATTTTGGGTAGTATCTTAACATGTTTTATTGTTTAGCTGTCTCTCTCACAAGTAGTTTTTTTGTTGCTGCTGTATAAATCCAGCCTGACAGTGGGAGCATTGGGTCCAACTCAGTGTAACTGCTAATATATTTGGATTTAAAACTATATTACTTCATGATGTTTCTCTCTCCTGTTTGGCCTTTTCAATGAACTTTTTAAGAGGATAATTTCATGTTTTCCCTTCTGTATGTTAGTGGTGCTATTTCTGTTCTTTCATTGATTATATTTTACAATGTAGACTTAACAAATTTAAAATGAATTAGTATCTGTCCTTATCCTGGATATTAAGGTTTGTAGAACACTTGAACTCTTTATTTCCCTACTTTCATGAAACTCTATGTAATATGCACTGTTTTCTATCTTGATTTGTTTAAAACTCTCATTACTTTCTATATGATTAAATCACCTTTCGCATTTGCTCACCTTAGTCCTTTTACTTTTTTCCCCTTGCTTTCCATCTGGTATCAGTCATTCTGCCTAAAGTACCTCTTTTAGAATTTCTTTTGGTGAGCTGATGATAGCAAACTTTTAGTTTTTTCTCAAATTACCATTCTTGGGGGTTTTTTTTTGGTGGATGTAAAATTCTAGTTTGGCAGTACACTGGAAAAATGTGAGCTGTTATAAACACTGTTAGTTGTCAGGCTAGCTGTCATTGCTTTGAGGGTTCTGGAAGAAGAAAAACTCTGGATACTTTTATCCTAAATTCTCCTTTTGCCTTTACTAATCTAGTTTCATGATACTATGTCTAGACATGGATTCACTTTTATTTATTGTTTCATGTTACTTGGGATTTTGAATCCGTGTAGTGTTCATTAGTTTGGGCACCTTTCAGCCTTCATAGCTTCTGACGGTCTCTGTGGTCCATTCTCTCTGCTTCTCTGGGGCCCCAAACACCCGTTGCCCCTCTTGTGTTTCTGTCCTGCATCTCTCCCACTCCTCTGCACTTTTTTCCTTTGCTGCATTGTTTCTTCTGCTCCATCTTTCAGTTAAACAAATCCTTCCAGTTCTACCCAACAGCACTTTAAAATTTATTTCTAGAAGTTATATTTGGTTTCCCAATCTACGATTTTTAGTGCCCATTCTTCTATTTTAAAGCATGTCATATATATTTTAAAATTGTACTCACTTGCATTTTACAATCTGTATTTGGAAAAGTACAGATGTTTTCTTTTGGGGGAAGCTGTTTTTCCTTGTGAAGGTTGCCACCAGTGGGTGATTCTTGTGTGCCTGACTGCTGCTCAGCTCTTGAAAAAATTATTGATGTAGTTTCATGACAGAGGGTATTGCTTTCTCAAGAAACAAATGCGATGTACTCCTACAACGCACTCGGGATTGCGTGTTTGGAACCTCTTTACTGAGGACCTGAGCGGCCCCTCCCCCACTCTAGCAGGATGTCTTAGAAAGAGCATCTTCCCAGAGTAGCCACACCACTTCACACTCAACAGCAATGCTGAGTCCCAGCTGTTTGTACATCCTTGGCATTGCGCCATCGCTGCCCTGGGTGCACTGTGGTGTTACCTGTTTGGTTCTAATCTGTATTACTAATCATGTTAAGCATCTTTTCATATGCTTACATTTTTGTAGACTGTTCACTTTTCTGATATTTTGTTACACTGTTGAATATGTTGCATTTTCTCCCATTTTATGGCTGTATTCTTACTTTTAGTGCTCTAATCTTTGTTTACTCCAAGGTTGCAAAGGTATTTTTCCAGGCTTGCAGTTTTCACTGTTGCTTTTAACGTGTGCGTGTGTGTGGCGTGCAAATCAATGGCTCGATTTCATTCAAATTGACATCCAGTCGCTCTAGCACTTATTGGGGATGAAGAACAGATAAATCCAAAAATCAAAGTACTTTAGGAAGGTGCAGATGATAACCCAGGCCATTAAAACACCTCAGCAAGTTCACACAGTGGAGCTCCATCTTACTGGATAGTCTGAAAGCTAGGGTCCGGAAAGTGGGCTCTGTATTTTGACAATGAAAGATGAGCTATGTGGCACTTTGGAAAAAGTAGGGACCTAAGTGCCAGAAAATGGGCCTGGCACTGTTTTGTTGGGCTGGGTGTGATGAGATCCTTGAATTAGAGGTTTAGAATCCTGGGCCTACCAACTGGATTTGCAATCTGTGGTTTTGAGTCAATTCCCAGAATAAAAGAAAATGGGTTATTTCTCCTGATACGCTGCTACATTTGGATCTTTGCTTCACTAAGAAATGCTTTTCTATCAGTCTGTCCAATCTCTTATCATTGTTTCAAAGCATGATTAAAATACTGTGTTCTCCAGATCTTTCTGAAGAAATCACCCTAACACTTCCAGAACACATAGGACATCCCGGAGGCTGAAAGGCAGTGTAGTTGAGAGCAAGCAGTTCACGTACAACAAACTGAAGCTAATGTTAAGCCTGACTTTCTATGTCACAAAAGTGCTTTAGGGGCAGGGCATCCAACCCATGGCTGAGGATGGCTATCAGTGTGGCCCAACACAAAATAGTAAATTTGTTTAAAACCACTTGTTTTTGCTCATCAATTTTCATTAGTGTTTTTGTATTTAACGTGTGGCCCAGAGAGGCCAAAAGGTTGGACACCTCTGCAAGTTTAAGGAAAAAAAAATAATTAAGTGGTTTCCCAGTAGCACCAGGATATATAACCTAAGCTCTATATAAATCAGCTTCTAAGACAGTTCATACTGTTCCATCTACAGTTCCATTTCTCATTATTCCCAATGTTTCATTCTGAGCCAATCCATGTCTTTCCTTCAGTTTTTTTAAAAATTGTGTTATCCCAAAGGATGATTAAAAAACTAATATAAAAGACTAATATTCAGAACACCCAAATGATAAAAACCCAGCTGTGACTAATACCCCTCTAAGTGTCACTTGCATATTCATTCCCAATCTGTAGGCTGCAAGGAAATCACATGAAATCATTGGATAAACATAGCAGTATATAAATTTAAATTACTGGACTGATTCTGGATACATTAAGGTAGCTAGCTGGTCTTACTTTTTGCAACACAAAAAATAAAGGAAATCATTTAAATACAATTTGCTTGCCTGCATTTTATCGATTGTATAGATAACACCTGAACCTTAGAAAATCATAAACTCACAAATTCCTTTATCAAAGCTCCTGATATTCAGTAACGAACACACATAAACAATTTAAACTTGGGACACCTAAGTCTTACACACCTCAACCATGACTGTGCCCATGTCTTCCCTCTACCCACCAGTTCAGTCTTTAATGGAAAGAGTACTATTAGTTAAGGCCAAACAATGTCAGCTTTATGTATATTCTGAGAAATAGAGCATGACAGATTTGTCCTTTCCTCACCTACACAACTGAGTGATGTTTGCTAGTAACTACAATTTGGGAAAACTTAAAATAGACAAAATGTAAAGTGGGCCCATACTACATAACGCTTCTCTGCACTACTTGTATTTCAACCTATCACAGGTAGATTCACTTTGTTATTCTAACAAGTTTCCAGCTTTTTAAACTTTTAATTTTAAAATATTTAGCTTTGCTAAAGGCCAAAACTAAAACAAATAAAAAAGCTACTAACCAAAAAAATTACAACCTGGGGAGGTATTAACCAACTTAATTTGGCTCCAATTTCTCAAATTTCTTTGCAAATTTCATGTTTTGATATGTTAAAAGTACAGGACTTAAAAATCAGTATTTTTTACTGAACTATGAGACTTAAAAATTATTTGACCTTTTGATGACTAGAGATTTCACTAGGTTTAGCAGATCGGAGTGTAACATACTTAACTGGAAAATGGAAATACACATTTGTTCTACACATAATCCCAAAAAAGTGTGATTCTATCCTCAGCGTACCAAAATATTAGGATACATATATATTTTTTAAAAAAACCACAGTTTCATAAGCATATTTTAATTTTTAAATTTTAACAAATAAAACTCAGCTAATCAACATAAATACAGAGTAAATGCACATTAATTTACAACCACATACAGAATACAAGGATAACAACCCTCATATAAATGGTCAAAAGATAATCAACTCCTCAAAAGTTGATTATTTAGCTATGACTGAAAGGTCATGATTTAATTGTTCACATATGCAGGGGTACACATTCAAAATGTTTATTAACACAAAAACTGAGTGAAACTAAAATTTTCCATTTCTAAAAGGAGTAGCAATAAAAAGCAGCATGTAGCTTAACGACAAATTAAGGGCATGGAAGAGAAGAGATCTGAGTGGGCAGAAAGTCAGTACATTAAATCTTTTATATAATTAAAATTTCTTCCAATTTAAATCATTCCAAACTATCTCTATTCTTAGGAATGTTGAAATCATGATCAATATTAGAGGAAGAAAAACCTGAACTATCCTATTTATCAGCCCAAAGAGTCCCTAGTGCTAACAGCCTGGGCAGAAGCATGTAAACAACAAATGACAGCCATGAACAAGGTTGGAAAAGGATAGACTGATTTCTAGCATTAAAATCCTTCAAGTTCCAATCAGTATTTTTAGTGATTTAACACAAATCTGAAAATACTGACATGTTTATGCTCCAGTAAAAGTAAACGCTCATTTTTAACCCAAACTTGGCTGGTCCAAATATACTAATGCTAACCTACAATGGGCATTAGGTTTTAGGACCCAAAAGTCTGGATTAAATAATCTAATGATGTACTTCTTGATTTCAAAGTTACAAATCAATTACTTGTGGGCCCCATCCAGTAAGGCTGGCTCCATAAAGTTACATACAGAATAAAAATAGAGACAAGGCTTTGGTGCTAGCTTTTTCCTGGAGCGATCAAGCACAAAGGAGAAAGGACTGGTGGATGTGGGCGACAGCGTGGCGACTGCAGGGCCGGGGCGGGGGGGGGGGGGGGTCTGAGGGCCTTACATGGTAACGGAAGAGACACATTACAAAAATAAATAGATGAAAGCGCTGCCTGACAGCCCACAGTCACTGGGCTGCTAATTCTCCGACTTGGACTATGAAATTTAGGAAACTGTTGTCCAAGCCACAGGTACCAGAGTTCTTTCTGTTCTTCCAGGAGCATGTGCTCTTTGAGTATCCATTGCTTTAAGTTCAGTCTAATTTTCTGAGAAGATTCTACAATAAAGATACATACCCACCTGAAGGTTGCTGACTACCTCTATGTTTGAAATAGAATGTTATAAAGTCCAATGTTTTAAGTACATGTTTTTCTTTTCAAACATCTGCATCAATTAAAAACACGACCTTCAAAGAAATGTTCAAAGACAAATTTTAGAAATAATTTTGTTTTCTTTTTAAAATGATCACTGTCATACATAAAGTAAACTACAGCTGCTTGTGCTGTGGGGGAAAAACAGACAATTAAGTGACATTGCTCCTTTCCAGTTGCTGCACACAATTGAAGTTTAAGACTCTAGGATCATTTCCTTCCAGTACATACATAAAACTTACTCTTAAAAGATGAATATAATACAGGAAAGGTCAAAGTAAGCTGTACTTGCCAAATACAGACAGGAATAGAATACATGTTCATCCTTGAAGGACACTTGTTAATGAATTTGCTACAAGTAAATAAGATGTTCCTTAACTGCTGGTTTCCACGTCATTCTTAATCATCTGTGGGGTAACCAAGTTCATTAGGATAAGGGAGAGTCTCTGTCCTACCTTCGATACAACTCGTATTTATGAATCTTCACAAGGCAAATGGCACTATGTTAGGCAGTACGAGTGGCACCTGAAAAGGTAAACACTATAGATGGAGACTTTCTCTACGGATTTAAGTTAGAAACCCATTTTGTAGGGGTTTTTTTTTGGCGTGTTCCTCATAATAAATGTCAAAGCTGAAAATTTACCATAAAAATTATGAATAATCCCAAAGGTAATGAAACTGAATTTGCCTTTGGTCTCCGAGTAGATTGGAATATTTTAAATTCCAATCAAAGCACCTCAAAAACATCCAGTTACTGTTGATTACAAGGAAGCTAAGAAGGTGAAGGAGTTTAGGAGGGCACTGTGTTTCACTAGTGACAGCAGAGAAAGCTTGCAATGACATGCTACAATTTTCTATGACAGGTCACTACAGTGTACACAAAATACTTAAAACATTTACATTAAAGATCTCCAAAACAACATTCCTAAAACCCAGAAAAATGTTGTGAACACTGTTTCTGCCTAATACGTGATCAATGTTTAAAAAAATAATGTGGAATTCTCTCCTACTTACTCTTACTACCTGTGCCCACCTCCCCAAAGGCCACAAAGTGCATTTACAAAGAATCATTCTTAAGATAAAGCCATTGCACAAAATGTACAGTTCATGTATACTGAAGTGAGTACCACATGGAGTTTAATTGTAGACATTTTCTTACACCAGTATAGCAACAACCATAAGCTAAAGTCTCCTAACTGAATTACAGCCAACATCTTCTTAAGGGCCATACATGTAATACATTTAAAGTATTAAAATGTGCAGTTGAACTCAACAACAAAATGTTACAAGCTCTATCCTGTTATCACACTTAATCTGAATTAACTTAATCTATTATTTACCATTAAAGAAATTAAGATAAACTTCTTTGCAAAAGCAGTATGTTCATTTACAAAACTATAAGTCAATTGGGATCATTACCTGCTCAATCAGATAGCAGGGGGCCCTCTTCTATAATGCTTTGTGCTCCCCCAGGTATTTATGTCGCCTTAAAAAAAAGACTTGTAAGGGCAAAGCTGAAAATTACCATTTTCTCTACACAATAAATAGAATCTATACAGATCTTCTGAAAATATTTCAAAGGTTCAAATTCTTAATGTCAAAGCAAAATGAGAAAGTCTCAGAACTAGTAAATTTTTTTCCACTTTATGAAAATGTTGCTTCGGTATGACACGTGGTAATTCAAGTTCAAAACCAATAAATCACTGTAAGGATGATTGCTGTCTTTTATCATAAAGTTAGAAAAATATGAGGATATGCTCGCTTACCGAAATGGTCTCAAATCACTATTTTACTGATTTAAAATCAGTATTTTAATGGTTTATTGTCCCAAACTATTACCATGTGAATTTGATATATTAATGAACAATTTAGGTGTCAACATTAGGCTAAAATCCAAGCACCTGTTAAGAGTGGGCATCTAAACATTTTAAAGAAAAAAATATACATGATATTTAGATACTATTTCATTAGTCGTCAAAAACAGTGACTACTAATGCCGAATAATTAACTTTGAAGTACTGGCCAGATTCTTTAAAGGAAATGTGAAAATAACACTGAGGAGCTATTTTTGTTATAAGAATTACACAGAATCCTAAAGTTAAAAATGTGTGACTGTTGGTGCTATCTTTGGATGGTTTATAAATAGAATATAACGAAGGATGGCTTTGTTTAGAAGACTGGAAAAGTATTCATGGAATAAACACTGTACTCTGTCTGCCACAAATAAACAAAATGCAACCGTGTCCTGTGGACCGGGTAGAGAAAATGGCAATTTTGAGGAAGGAGTGCTTCTAAAGGCCTTTTCTTGGAGGCAGCCAGGTTTTATTCACATTACTGAAAAGACCAAGTAATGTGGTTATGATTACTTTAATTCTGACAACCAGACTTCCTTCCACTCAGGCATAGTTACACGCTCCCAAACCAGTTCTCTGCTGTCCATCATGCTGGTTCCGATGCTCCATGGTCCACTGTAATCTTCTGGTCTTCCCTCTTCATGGCATGGTGGCCTGACGCTGCTATCCATTGAGTAGGTAGACCACCAGTTCATAGGTGGCCATCATAATGGCTGTGTTGGGAATCTGTCTCACCAGATGAGTTGTTAGACCACGGTAAAGAGACCCATAACCTTCTTCTTGAACAACCAAAGAGAGTGTCTGAAAAAAAGATCTATATTTTGTTCCCTCTTCACGTAGTCTTGTCCTGACAACTTCTGTTTGGGGGGGGAAAAAAGTCATTTTATTTATTTAAACAGTAGTGATATCTTTATATCCTCCTAATACTAAGCACATCCCACTTACCATTATGATTAACGCCCAAGAACTTAATTTTGTTACACTTAAGTTATGAACAATGAGCAGCCTACTGGCTGGGGTGCAACAGCATTTCTGAATTCACAGAATATTGCCTGTAAAAACTCAACTTCTCTTACCATGTGGATATGCTATACTTGTGGCACAAGTTTTCGAGGTGGCAGCAGCCAGCATCATTCCCACAAAATCTGATGCGTCTCTTACAGACTCTTCATCGTTTTCCATTGTTGAAGCAATCTTATATTCCAGTAGTTTTTGCTTAATACCCTCATAAATAACAAAATGGATAACAGTCTCTGATATGCCAGCATACGAAGCAGACATGCCTCTATAAAATCCTCTAAGTCCATCTGCCTGATACACTTTACGAACACATTCAAAAGCGCCCATTTGCTTTTCGCCACGGTTCCTGAAAAGCAAAATGAAAATCTTTTTAATATAAATATAGTAGTATAGGTTTTAAGATAAAGCATATAAAATATATAACTATACCACTCTAATATAAAGAATGAGCCCCTTTAACTCATGAAATAGTGAAATCAGAATCTTAAAACATTATTTTAGATCTTGTACTCTTTTGTCCCAAATTTGTCATATTAGATGGGTAACATGTAAGTAGCTTGTTTTACTGAGTGCAAAACACACTACATTAAATCTTCACTTTGATGTCCTCACTGAAGTTGGTATTACAGGGATAAAGAACAAAAAAAAAATCCTTTATTCCAAATATACTGACTGCAGCTCAAGATGAAAATGAACAAAAAATACATTATATTAAATCCAGTCCTAAGTTGAGATTTCCTTTGCATTTAATATTAAAAAGAATGTTTTAGACAATAGTGTTGACAGTACATCACAAAAGCAGGGAGCATGATCAGTCTAATCTCTGTGCACTTGAGGGATTCTTTCCAAAAAGTGTCTGGGTGAATTTAAAACCAATTTCCTATGATCCTTTGAAGGTTATGGCCTTATCTCTCACTGCAGTATCCTAGTGAGTAGTGAATGAGGACCTTTACAAGTATTTACAAAGTATTTATTGAATACTGGGCCCAAGAAAATGTTCTTAGTGCTGCTACTTAAGGGTACAGCTTCTATTCTTTTATCATTTTGAATTTGTAAAAATACTTATAACCTTAAATATCATTTCCCCAGTAGAACCCCATATATAAGAATGGATTTAAATGCTACCCACAGGGAAAGAATTTACTTATTTATAAATTATACATAATCTGTTTCTGACATAAAATAAAACCACAACTAAGACATCTACCTGATAACCTACAGATTCTTCCAAGTTCACGAACTAAGGACTGTCTTCAATGACACTGAACAAATACTTTCTTAGATGAATAATCGATGCTACCAACTAAAATAAGTTTCTGCCATATGATCTTTCCTTAAAAAGTTAAAAGGGCCACAAACCCCAAAGGGTAACACACAAATACATTTGCCCTGTTGTTGACTTCAGTGCTATAAATTAGCATCTTTAAATCAACATTTCATGATTATCTGAACCCACCCCATTCCATACTCCTAAGCCTAAGAAGGTATGTTGACTTGTGTTACAATTTTAAGTAAAATAACAATAACAACATTAAAGAATTTTAAGCCATGCTCTTCCTGGATCCCCTACAAATCCACTCTGTAACACAGTGAAGAATACCACTGGTAGTTTATAATGGTATAATATAGACTGCCACTTCACAGTTTCTTAACCTTTGGTTTCTTATTCACCACTATTACTTTTAGATCTTTGCCTTTAAGAAACCAACTGTGAATTCTGCTGTAACACTTAAGATTTCACTAAAAATCATTCCAGATGGAAGAACGGGCATTTCTTTTCAAGTCTCCAAACAATATATAGTTCAGCATGACAGAATGTGGAAAACAAGATATTTAAGCAAGCACATTGTTAATAATTTCACAGATCAGTTTTATATATAATCTACAAGATATAACACTACTTCTCAAACCCTGAAATATGAAACACAGTGGACATGTTATGCATAGTCTGCTCCATACTGAAAAGCTAAATCAGTTTCAAAACTTTATTATTATACAGCAGATAGGATCATCTCCCTACAGAACTGTATTTGCGTTTCCCATCCTCCATTCTAAAGGTCAACAGGACTTGAGATGGCAAGACTAAGCTGCACTGCTTCTGGCCTGTTCTCAGACACCAGAACATGCCCTAACCTTAGAACCTGCAGTCCGCACTGATTGCACCTCTGCTTAAAATGGATCAAAAAACCCTTGTGCCTCTTCCATTTAAAGTTGGTCACCACTGTTTCCTGGTATAGCTCTAGAACCTATCAGTGCCTTGCTCAGTATAGATTTATCAAATGAATGAATCTTGCTGGCATAAAGTTGACAGTTGTAACAGATGAAGTCTATGATTAAAGGAGAGCAAAATCCCATGCCAAGATTTTCTGCGTATAAGGTTACTGAATTTGAGCAACGATCCGCGAAGATTTAGTCTAGACTGACTAGTTGATCATGTGAGTTATTTAGCTCTTGAGAGGTGGATTATAATAATCACCCCTGTAGTAAAAGTATCACTACTTGAGCTCAGTTAATGTATCCTTCTTTCTTCTCCTTTTATTTAAAAACATAACACATAACACATTTTCTTCCCTGTAGAGTCTCATCCCGCCAACTACTGTATCACTTTTGCGTCCAATGGTAGACCCAAGGTTCTAAAACAAAGCAAAATAATATAGCAGCCAAAAAGGGGATGCTGAAATCTATAGAAAAAAGTTAGTTGAAACCCTTAATGAAATAACATACCTTGCATCAAGCTGTAACCGAGTCTTTACAAGCCAAATGGGGTTGGTTGCTGTGATTGCGGTAAAACCTAAACAAACATGTTTAAAATGAACTCTGGTAAGAATAAATACACTATTAACTTTAAGGTTTATAAAATTACATAAATCTATATTAAAGAAAATGAATATAAATATTTAATGTATTAAGTAATGTATATGTTATACTTTTATTTTACAAATTCATACAGACATGAACATTGCTATTTTATTTCCAATCTACATTTTCAAATTCTGACAATAACTAAAAGGTAAATCTTTTAAGAACAAAATCTGACTACATATAACTTCCTCTCCCAACATATTTAGGATATCCTCTGGGATGCCCTCTACTCTCTAACTAAATTCAGAAACCCATTTGTATAGACATACAAAAATTGTGTATTCTAGGGGCTTTCTAACATGCAAACTCTACAGCCACTACTTGGGGTCCAATTAATATCACAAACCACTGTGTTCAAAATGGATTCTATTATATCAGCATTTATTAATAGTAGGTCTTACTTAAGCTGATTGTGTAACAGGAAGGATTGTTGTTTGGCCTTATATTTTATGTAAAGTACATAAACATACACTTAATACTGTTAAAATAATGGTATCAAAGAGGTAAGATTTCTGTTAGGATTAACAGGACAAACCTATTTTTCATCCATCTAAATACATACAAAAACTCAAAAGTTCAAAAAGTTACAATGGGAAATTCCCTCTCACTTTTATAGACACTGAAGAGAGAAACTCATGGTAGAGGTACCTCTAGTTTACTTTGAAACTGAAGTAATACTTTCTATCAAATACTAGCAGGTCAAGCACATTATTTTTAGACAGGTGGACTATAACCAGCACATTTAATATGAGTAAAGTACTTTCAGAAACAAAAATGCTGTGGTGCATATTAGGGATAAATGCAAAATAATTTTACTACATTGTATACAAAGTGAAATTCAGTTTCACAGGTTCTTTTCCTTTCCATAATGTTAGACAATTAGCTAACTCAAATTTTACTCCCTTATCCACTGCTTTAACACTGTAGCAATAGACAGATGTTTCAGAAAGGGGTGCTCACATTAAATCTATCAAGCAAGATGAATGATATAAAGTTTGATTTGATAACTCCTTTAATCACCTTATAATGGTTATATAGTTTCCTTTTTTCATAAGTGCTTTTAATACTACATACAAATATATAAAACTAAAATGGGACCAATAATTTTCTAAGTATCAGTACTAAGTAACAAAAATTTGAATTGTTGGATAGGCTGTCAGGAACATTTTTAAATAAGGTTCTTTTCATGCACATATTCTGGTAACAGGAAAAAGAAATGAAAAATATGAAACTGTCAGATCAGTTTAAATACTATGTTTGGAAAAGACTTCTCTTACATGGCCTATTTTAACTGAGAATGAAGTTATAGAGTATATATATTTTTTCTTCTCAAACCTCATTTTTCTAAAGTAAAAGTCAAACTAATTTTATTTTAAAGCTAATATGAACCAGAAATCAGTATTCTGGTCATATCCTTAATTTAATAATTCTTTATCTTAAGTTAAATATTTGTATTAGGTAAATGCATGTACAAGCAATCTTAGGGGTTTATTAGTGAAAAGCTGCTAAGCAGTCAAAGAGACAAAAGAGTCTACATTACAATGATTTGTATTAATTACTCTGAAAATTTTTAAAAATTTGTTTAATTCTGAAAAGCTAAAACAGGAGATTCTTGTATTAAACGAAAAAAAACCCCAAACCCTTGCCTAGATAAAAATCTTAATTTATTATACTTTATTTGAAAAGAAGCACCAAAGTACTTTTTAAAATAATGACATTTTACTTCTAAAAATATAAACTTAGTACCCTAAGCTTAATACTCTTCCAAGTCCACAAAATTCCTCAATCAGAGGCTGAAAAAACCCCCCAGAATATGTAAACTTCAAAATATTACACTGTTTACATTATTAAAAATGAAATTTCAAAATACCCATAAATTATTATTTTAATTATTTGTACATGTTAAAAAATGACAGGATGCAGACAACAGGTATTTCTCACTTAACTAAAATTCATTTCCAGACACAAATTAATCTATGGAACAGAACACATTAACATTTAGGTGAGAGAATGTTGTCATCTAATCCCTATACAACTGCTAGTATCAGTATCCTGTGCTTACTATATAAGTGCTTTGGTTCATTTCTCCCAATAAACTAGCTCTTATTAAAGACATTATCCTAACCGCCAGCAAACCATTATGTTAAAGAATTCAGACATAATCCACAGGTTTTTAGCTATTGGTCTTATCTTACTAAAGATACTTCAATAAACTAAGTAGATGTTATTAGGGTAATTAAATCTAGAAAAAATATGATCCATTAATTCAAGTGGGAAAAAACAAAACTATATCATTAATTTGGAATTGTAACATAGGGTAAGGCAATTTTTTGAAGTGGACAAACAGCCAAAGCTAAACATATCTTCCTATTTTTTCCTAAGAAAAACATACACAAAGATGCTGGGAGTAGTGCCCCTCAAATTTAGAAATTTCTAATTAATTTTTTTGTCGTCACTTAAATTTTGTGACATTTTGCTAATATGCTACTTCATAGTAATATTCTGAACACTCTGTTAAACATTAAAACTAATTTAGAGGTACAGAAGGATCTATTTGTAGGTTAAGAATTAACATTGTTCTACAGTCAGATAAAGCAAAGTGGCAGTACATTGGCCATACTGTTAGTAGTGTGGTTAGTATTTTATTAGAAAGTTTTTAAAAAACTTTGAAAATACAGTCTTTGAAATTTTGCTTTATCTAAGACTCCATCTGGTAACAAACCAGCGATTTTCAACCTTTTTAACCTCATGGCACACTTAAACTAATTACTGACATTCTGTGGCATGCCAAAAATACATTTTTTGCCTGCCTCACAAAAGAAAATAGGTATAATTTTGACTCAACCACACCAGACAACTACAGTTATGTTAGCGGTTGTCATTTTTAAATTTGACAATCTAAGGGAAAAAGAGGTCAGTGCCCCTGACTAAATAGTCAGGTACCATATTTTTTATAAACTTTTGCGGCACGCTGGTTGAAAATCGTCGACATAAACCAATTAAAACCCAGATTAACAGAAATCCTGCATATAGTAAATTTGCTGAAAATGTCTATTTTATTAAGTGAGTGATACCTGTAGTATTGCATTTTTAGTATTTTTTATTTCAATTAACTTAAGGGAAATATATTAACACTACTAAAAAAAAATTAAAACCAAAACAGCTAAAATTATATTCTTATCCTGAATTTATTTAGAAATGGTAGGTATTAAGATCAATGTTTTTGCAAGAGAGTAGAAAAAAGCCAAGTATCAACAGACAAGAAAACAGAAAGCACTGTATTAGACTTTTAAAATGTTACGCTAACCCAACACAACTATTTTCTTCTAAAAGTTGTAGGATATTATAATACCAGTTACAACTATGTGTATCTTAAATACTGTTATCATAAAATTCTTTGGTGGTCAAAACTATTAGGAACAAGCTGAGGACCCCATGCTTTTATTACATGATGACTGAAAAGTTAGCCCATTCATCCTTCTAGAAGGAATATTGTAAAGGGATCAGAATTAAAATTTTATAAAATATTCAAGATAATGCACACATAAATTCCGGAAATACAAGTTCATTTCCCGCCTTCTACTAATTGCACAGCTATTATAAATTCCCAGGGGGTGTTTCTTATAACTAGAGGCTGCAAGAGATGCTCAGATCAGTACTCACGAGGTTTAAGTTAGTCCATATTTCTACAGGAGTGACCTGCGGATGGGGAGCATGAGATGACACGATCTCACTCTTTTCTCGGGAGAAATGTACAGTAAATGCCTAAAATAGACACAGGCTTTTCTGTATCATAACAACAAGCAGTGACCTCATCAGAAACATGTGTACAAAATGTATCCCATTGGAAGGAGTTGAGAAATATTTACGGTGAGATCTAACTTTTTTGAAAATTTTAAGTTTAAAAAAAAAAAGGAATATTAGAACGGGCCATAAGTTTTTTTTAAAAAAATGCACCGAGTACTGAAAATTCTGCCATCTGCAGCAGTTTAGAGTCCAAATACTTACCTAAAAGACCAATTTGCCTTAAAGAAAAAAATGCTAACCTTGTCAAGGGGGAATCTAAGAAAATATTTTCCTACCAGTATCATCTATCATGATCAAAACTGAAATCACAACAATCAGACTATTTAGGAAATCTTAAAAAAAATTCAAGTAATTTCATTTTGTAACTAATTTTTTTAAAATGAAATAAATTATAGTATATGTTGCTACAGTAGTACCTTTCACCTTTTGCACTATGGCCAGTAATATTGCACATCCATTTTTATGGAATATTTTGGGTTATTTTGTATTTAATTTCTTGTGTTCTACAAAACAAAAACAGGAAGAATGTTTACATACAAACACACAAACATCTGTCCAACCATCAATCTGGGTCAATGAACTGTCATGGACAAATAAAATATTTTAAAAAATATTCTGTATATGCAAGACAAAATTCCTATTTAAGTTTTCACCAAAAATTTAACCTTTAATAATAAATTTTAAGTCAAACAGGAAAATATATCTTGAAAAATTAACAGTGAATGTTATAAATAAAACCTACTAGCTATCTAGTAAATATTAAACAATTGTGCATATTTTAAAAATTGAACAATAACTGTTTGAATATATAATCCAATAAAGTCAGAAGTCACTTCCTTTAAATCTGTAATGGTGTACATGAAAGTATATGTATATTCCAGATAAAAACTTTAAAAAATTGAGAATTACTATTAAGAAAGAAAAAGCCCTGACCAGCGTGGCTCAGTTGTTTGGGAGTCATCCCGCAACGCAAAGGTCGCTGGGTTCAGGTTCAATTCCGTCAGGGCATTTGAGTGAGTTGCAGATTCAGTCCCTGGTCAGGGCACAAGCGAGAAGCAACGGATGGATGTTCTCGCACTCTTTCTCCCTCCCTTTCCCTCTCTCTAAAAATAAGTAAATGTTAAAAAAAAATTAAATAAATTTTTAAAAAACCTTAATTTTATTTTTTGTATACACAGCTGTGTATAGGTATATACAGAGGATATGCAAGCTCATTTAAATAAGAACACACAAATACCCTCAACAACAACAAAAAACAACACCCTCAATAGCTGAGTCTCTCACACTGACAAAGGTCTTTAGACAAAGGTCAGATATGGAGGGGAAAAAGGTAGTAAACCTCGAAAAGCCAACGTTACCTAATTTGATTAAACAGCCTCACAACTGAATAAAATTTTCAATGCATGAAAATTTAGAGCTCAAACTAAGGGCTCAGAATCCTTTTGTGTTCCCTTAAAATACAACAAATGAAAATGAAATATTCAAACTGTCACTTTTAATTAAAAGGATTTAGTATCTAAAGACTCTAGTTTATATGGATAAAATGCAAAATACAACTGAATTGAGAGGTTACTTGAGATAAAAATTATGTACAAAGTATATTCCAAAATCCTTAATGTGTGTGCTGCTTGATGTGGCAACATATAGCAGGCTCTATAATTAATGGACTACTTTTAGTGTATTTTTTGATACTCAAATGACAAGGTTAGCAGTTTTTTTTTTGAATAGGTAAAAAATAATTTTTCACATGATTGCCTCTAAGCACTTTGCACCCCCAATTCATATTTATAAGACCTCTAAAAATGATCCTGAAGAAAAACCAGAGCAATCTGGCCTAGGTTATTTCAAGAATGAAGAAGGCAAAAGGCTACCTTAATGAGTCTGCATGGACCAGTCAGTTTCACCAACCACGTAGTTACGTATAAAAACCGCAAAGCTAAATGTCAATGCTCATAAACAGTGTAAGAAAACCCTGAAAACACAATTCTTAGAAAAAATGTAACTACAAACAAACTGAAGTATTTCCAAATTACACAGTAAGTGTATAAAGTGCAATACTCCCTGAAGAAGACCATCAATTAACCAAAATTCAAAGAATTCAAGTTGGGAAATATTATCAATGTTTAGGTAAAAACAAATTTTAACACCTGTACATATTTGTGGGGAAAATGTGCAAAATAACAATTCCACAGAAATTCTTTGCAATGTAATACAAACAAAACAATAATCCTGATACTGTATTCTAATAAAAAAAATTGTTCCAGTGGGAATTTAAGATATTCTGAAACTCTAATTTACAATACTGAATATATAATAGCTATACTCCACTTCAAATTATTGATCATCTACTTTCTTGATTTTAATTCTTTCAAAAAAGATTAACATTTCTTTATAATTTTCTGGGGTTAAAAAACGAAAATGTTTAAATACTGGTAGTCCAAAAATATATTCTCCAAGATTCTATAGCTTGATTATTAGCTACTTTTACATTATACCCACTGAATGTGCAAAGGGAAAATCGTATCTATTTGTATTCAACATCTGTAAAAAGGACATTAAAAAATAATTCTAGTTGTAACTAGATGACCTCTATGATACTGAGGAACTAATTTTAAAGATCTAAATTGATACAGAGCAACCTACTTATTCTAAGGATAAGGTAATGGAGATTCACATAAATTACTTAACTTCTCCAAGATTTCTCCACATGGGTAAATAAGAGTATTTCACCACCTTGTTCTTTAAGGTTTCATCTTCCAACTTTAAAACTTCAATGAGTTAATCAAAAATTACTAACTACATAAAGCCTTGAAAACATCTTGTGAGGTATATGCTAGAATGCACTAGATTTATTACATGGCAACTGACCTTTCAGAAATTAGTATTTCAAACTTACACTTAGTTCGTTAAGAATGTGGTTCAAATTGATCCAATTTATTTCTAAACAGAAAATGGTTAACAGTTTAAGGCACGCATTATTAAGCATGTAACTGACAATTGACAAGTGGAGAAAGTACATATAACTTACTTTATAAAGTCACAGCATAATTTAGAAATGTGAGTCATGGTTCAATATGCCAACAAATCTCAGAAAACTGTAGAGAACTTTCTATTGAGAACCAAAGGTCATGGCTTTGTCTAACATGCATAGCAAGAAATGATTTCAAAAATCACACTGGCCAACAAATCTACCAGTTTATCTATAAGGCAGGGCAGAGAGGTCCATGACTGGTTGTTTTAATTTAGAATCATATATACTTAACGACAGAACAATTCCTGGAAACATTTCTATAGCAAGCATGTACACATAGCCAGTGCCTAAGTTTCAAGTGCTATCCAGTGTGATTTACGTGAAATGCTAACCATATTTTTCAAAATACATTACAGTAACGAGTTATCAGTAAGACATCACTCACAAAAATTTCAGCATTTGAGCACAGGACAAAATGAATACTTTACCAAGAACTGCCGGCACATTTCAGACAGAAGCCAAAACATGCAGCAAAAAGGAAAAGGCACTAACAGAAATTGAGGAGAGAAGAATAAATTACAGCTCCATAACTTACTGATACGATAGTGTAATTATGGTTGGATTCTTAAAACTTGTTAAAAGTAATGACTAAATATTCAGTAAACTATACAACACAGTGTAAATACTGTATTACCTGTATGCTATGACAAACTCCTTTACAAAGTACCAACTGACAACAGCTCTTACATACACCACCTGATCAAATTTACTGTATACTAATACACATTTGTGGATGCTAATCAATGAGCACATTATCTTAACTTTACAATTTAAGTTAATCATAATTCAATATTATGTCTCTAGGTTTCAGAAATTTTTTTTATTTAACATTATATATTCATACCTGCCATTGCAGCTGAAATCATGTGTACCTGGGTTGAATCAGGGTCAAATACACCATTCAACTTTTCCTTGCAGTTTGAATAGGCAGCGAAGTATATTGCTCTAAAATAAAGATTTAAATTTTACCAATAGGCATGTAGCTTAATTTATACGATTTACATGACATGTAAATTAAGCCTGATAATTTTAAAGTAGAGGAATGTTAAAAGCAAAAACAAAGTTTCAGCTAATGCCCATGTAACACACATCAGACTGACATTTTTTTCATGAAGACCTTGATGTACTAAAAAGATAAATTCAAATGTATAGTTCCTCAAATAGACACCCTCTTCCACCTGTCCCAATACTTTTCGAACTAATTTTAAGTATTTGTACAAAATTTTGAAAACATATGAAATAAGACTGAAAAACTTACGTAACATTAAGGCTGAATTAAATATACTTGAATTAAGGAAATATGGTATGAGCACTTACATATATTTTTGGGGGGCAAGGAAAGATAAAACTGACCCAACTGATCCAACAATACGAGGTCTGTCCAGAAAAAATCCAATCGTTGTTAATGTAACAAGAATGGTTTGCACATCAATGTAACCTGGCAGCCAAGGAGAGTGGAGTGGAATGAGCATGTGTGAACAATGACTTCACTCTAGGTGGAAGGTGGTAGATGCCACTGACTGAGTATGGTGTACTGTGTGGCTGTGAGTAGAGCAACGAATCTGCATCAAATTTTCCATGAAGCTTGAACATTCCTCTGTGAAAACTATTCAGATGATTCAGAAGGCCGCAGCTATGGGCAACTGGTGATTGGCAACTTCATCCAGACAATACTGCCCACTTGCGTATTTTTGGTGAAACATCCAATTACCCAGGTGCCTTAGCCCCCAGAGTCGCTTGGCACCCTTTGACTTTGACTTTTCCCAAAAACTAAGATTACCTTGAAAGGGAAGAGATTTCAGACCATCAATGATGTTCAGGAAAATAGACAGGGTGGCTGATAACTGGGAGAACTGTGTGAGGTCTCAAGGTGGCTACTTTGAAGGGGACTGAGGTAACACTGTCTTATGTACAATGTTTCTTGTACCATGTATCTTCTTCAATAAATGTCTCTTGTTTTTCATACTACGTGGATGGATACCGCTGGATACCTTCTGGACAGACCTCATGTATATATATATACACATATATATACACACATATATATACACACATATATAGGTAATTCACAGAAGAGACATATAAGTAATTGTGAGGAGGGCATGACTGCACCAAAAATTAAACAAATATATGTTGAAACAGTGAAAAATCATGTTTAGTTTATTTGGCAAGTAAAAACATAAACAAAATAGCTAACACTGGTTAATACACGGATAAAGAGAAACTAATTTACTATTTGAGAATAAAAATATGGAATGTTTTTTCAGAAGAGATGACCAATATTTATTTATTTTTTAGTGTGCATATACCCTTTTATCTAGAGATTCTATTCTTGGGTAACTATCCTAAAAAATATGCTAATTTAAGTACTCAGATAGGAGTACAGTGAAGTTTACAATACCACTGTTTTTAACAGCAAAAATCTGGAATAAATCTAAAGTTTTATCAATTAAAAAATAGTTATTAATGATGGAATAGTCATACTATGCAATTTTTTTAAAACTCTATATATTTTCATGGTAAAAGGTTACAAAACAAACTGGGAGAAATATTTTTAATAAGATTCAAGTTATGTAAATAAGAAGTCTCCATATTATACATGTTATGTACATGATAGGCCAGAAAAATTAATGAAAGATTATACTGAATCGTTTATTTATGCTGGCTTTGTCTAAGGAGAAGAACATGTGTGGGAAGGAGCACTGGGTGAGAAAAGGGGATGTGTTTAAGGTGAAAGTCCAAGCTTTACACTATACATTTTTTTTTAGTCTTTATAATAGGGATGAAATTTTGGATAATTTTTTATAAGAGAAAATAAAAATCGGCCATTCAACGTTGAAACCCAATAAATAATGAAAATGGATCTAGTACATTGTTTGGATACAGAAGGCTGGGTATGCATTTTCATTCTGAATGTGAAAACTGCTGTGTTCTATCATGGAAGTCAATCTAAAATAAAAACATATCAAAAGAAAATGACAAATTAATGGTATTAAGGTCTTTTTGGCTTCTTTAATAGAGGTTGAAACCATTCTGTTTACTTTGTCCCCTACACTTAAATATAGGGTTAGTTCTAGAGATCCAGGTCTTCCCCTTTCTTTAGCTAATTCCTTCAGTTTGCTCTTTGCCTTTTAAACATGGTACAAAAACTGCTTCACAGTAATCTCACTAGGTTCCGCTGTACCTACACATGATGCAACCTGCTCATCCTTTTAGATGCTTACAGACAACATGTTTGTTACACCTGTTGCTATACCATAGTGCTTTATCCTTACCACCTTGACATCAGCATCTCTCCTCTTTAAGCTTGAAACAAGAAAAGATAGAGACAATTTTGATTTTTTTTTTTTTTTTTTTACCTGGAAGGAGCTACCCCCACTAAATTGGGGCCTAATCCTCTAAACAAGGAACGAGGCCCTTCTTTTTCCAAGATCACCCTGAAAGAGAAAAACATGATTTAGGTTTTCGAGGTGAGAAGAAATAGATATTGAGGTAGACCAGGTATTTTAATTTAGAGTTAACAAACTGGGCCAGTGGCTCTCAATCTAAATGTGTAAGAATGATGTCTTGAAGGGCAACTGAGCATAAAGGTTAATTAAGGATTTGGGGTGTGGGGCCAGCCTTCTTCATACAAGCCCAATTTTCGTAACCGACTAATGGTGAAAAGACAGTCATAGCTTTTCTCTTATCCTTATTTTCATCAGCAGCAAATAGAGAAAAATAGTACTCTCTTTTTGGGAATTACTATGAGGAATAAATTAGATAATACATAAAAAAATTAAGAGTACCTAGCTCACAGTAATAAGCAGTTGCTTAAAATGCCAATTTCTCTGATCCAGCCCTCAAAATACAGTGGCAATTTGGTACTCATCGTTAATTTGTTATGGCACTCATGATGAGTGCTGAAACCAACGAGTACCAAATGACTTTTCCCGTAAGATGTTTTCTCTTGTGGGGTGGTACTGTGACTCACACAAGTTCCAGCAAGCACCGAATGCTGGAACATTATTTTTCTCATAAAAATGCAACAAGCACCAGATGTGACAAGTTCTAAACTGACAAGTACCGAGGTATAACTGTATTCTGATTTAATAGTTGTAAAAGAAGGCTCAGCAGTTTGCATTTTTACCATGCATCCAGGACTCACACAGGTCCTGATATAGAACCAGTTTTGATTAACTAGATTAGACAAAGCAAAGTTAAGAATGACAAATTATAGAGCACGGTTTGAAGATAGTTTGTTAGCCCTTTCTGTATCTATCACAAATCCCCTTGAGAAATTAAGGAAAGGGTCCTTTTAGGAAAATATACATTTGCAATGGATTCATATAAGAGGGCCTCAAAAAGTGAGAAATTAAAAGCAAGGCCAGAGGGTCCTGCAGTTCTTCTGAGGAAATTCAGAAAAAACAGAACCACTGAAAAACAGAATAAAAAATACAGTATTGCCACAAACGTCAAAGGGAGAACTTTAAGGAAAGGTAATCAGTAATAATGAACATCAAAATTGTATTAAAATACACTATTATTAATCAGATAGTATTTATATATAACTATGACATTTTAATCCAAAATTGTTAACAATTTTATTCTACCTCTTCATGTAGTTGGGTAAGTTTAAAAAAAGAAGAGATTGATGAAATCTTTTAGTGGAGAAGGTAAACACACACTATGAGTTTATTTATTACTACAAAATAAACACTACTGAACTAAGTTCAAACAGATTATGTCCCAAGTGAGCTGATAAGGCAGACACACAAGGCATTCAGTTACATACCTAAGTTTAAACATACAAAATCTAATTTCAATAGTTTTGAAATTTCAAATTCTATGTGTAACATAATGAAGTATGATAAAATGTGAAAATAATTATTTTTTAAAGCATCAAGACATGTCAAACACTGCATCATATTTTAAAATCAGTAAAGATCTGCTTTAAATCTCAATTATTGTTTAGGTTATATAAAAGTCACATACTGATATTAACTGGATGTACTTCAATTCAAAATAAAACACCTATAATCATTTTAGAAAATAAACCTATTGAATAAATGCAAAATATATTCCAAATATATGCCATTTAGAAATAACACATTTTATATTCAACTAACTGTTCCTCTCCATTAGGGATGATTGTTTTTTAATGAACATAATTGAGTAACCCTGTCATTAGGCTTGTGTAACACCTTTTAAAGTATGACAGCATATAAAACAGACTTTACAAAAGTTCATGACTACTGCGCACTCACTTTAGGCAATGGAGAGGTCCGGGAGACACCACTCGGTTGACACTGGCCCCAGCCATGGTGCTCAGCTGAACCTCAGAGACACAGAGCGTCAGGGAAGACGACTGCAGCCGCGTTTTCACAACTTCCAGTGGACATGTCAGAATAGCTCCCACGGTACCACCACATCTACGAAAAATGAAAAGAACAAAACTTATCTACTTAATTTATCGCTTAATAAACATGTAGGCAACTGAGGCTTTGCCAAGGTACTAAAATGTAACATTCTTCATTTTAGAATACTAAACAATTTTTTAAATGTTTCAATTTATTTGACTGTATACAGATACCTTTGGTAACTAGAAAGAACTGAGCTTAAACATCTACCTCACAAGAATTAGTCAAGTAAGATAAAGAAATATTCAAGAGATTTCCTATCTTGTACCCTTTCAGACACAGCTACTAAAGGATGTGTTTCACAAGTTAAGGGAGTAAACTAAAAAAGAGGGAATATATCAAATCACTAGGTTGCACACCTCGGACTAACACAATGTTGTATGTCAATAAAACGGAGGGAGGTGGGGAATGAATACAGAAACAGAGTAACACAGACGAGGGAGAACGGAGTCCCGAGATGACAGTGAAGACTTAGACAGTAGCCAGGTCAGACCGGATTTGCATAACAGAGTTCAGAGGAATAAAGCTCTCCAGGAAAGAAAAGACAAGACTAATAGACAAATATATTTGACCATGTAAAAATAAATATTTAAGTGTTAAGTATTGCATAACTAAGCAAACATTTTAAAATAGGCAATTATTAACTCTAGAGGGGAAACTGAACTTATTCAAAATGAAGTTGACAATATATAACTTAGTTGTGCTATGCTATCAACAATATTTATATTGTCACAATGAGAGAGGCATCAATTGCTGATTTAACAAAAATTGTGACGTAAGTAACTACATATTGAGAAGAGGAAAAGGGGGAAATATGGAGTGCTGTACTATAACTAAATCCTCATCTATCAGAAAAGAAAGTATGAAGAAAATTTCAAAGGAAATAGCTAAGTCTTACAGAAGGTCCTACTAGAAGATACGGGGGAAACTGGGGAATGTTAGTTTTTTTACTATTTTTCAGCAGCTTTAAAAAAAGTTTGAAAACATTTTTTAATTTGTCAAAAATTTAGCAGTGTTTTTAAAAAACAGCAGAGGTTTTTACCTGGATAATGTGGTTGAGGTTTCTGGAATTTACTGGACTCCATGAAAAAATGATGTGTATAATGGGCAGTGTCTCTGACTCGGATTTTACAAATCAATCCAGAATCTCATCCACCTCTCACCACTTCCTCTTTGGTCTAAGCCACTACCCTTTTTCATTAGTGTCTCCCTGCATCTACCTTTGCCCCAGTTCCTCTAATTTATCTTCAATGAGGCTGACAGAGTGATTGTATTAAAAACTGAAGTCAGATCAATCACACCTCTGCTCAAAACTTTCCAGACAGCCTATGTCCTTCAGAATAAAAGCCAAAGTCCTCACAATGGTGTATAAGATCTTACCCAGTCTGCTCTCACTGATCCCTCTGCCCTCATTTCCTACTATCCACCTTCTCTCACTGCTCCAGCCACACCGACCTCTGTGATAAATACTGCCGACCCTTAACAATGTGTGGGTCAGAGATGCCAACTTCTCCATGCCCTTGTAGTTGAAAATCCACATATAACTTTTGACTTCCCCGCAAACGTAACTGCTGCATTTGAGTTTAATACAGCAAGCATGGTCCTGCAGGACCTTTGTTCTAGCTGTTCCCTCTACCTGTAAAATTCCTGTCTGGAATATGGGAATGGGTTACTACCACAACTCCTTATCTTTGCTCAGCTGTCACTTCTCAGTGATGTCCCTTCTGATTGCAATATATAAAATCACACCAACTGCCACTTAACATACTAAATATTTCATGTACTTCTTCTGTGTCCCTTTATGCTATCTACATAAGCACCAGGAAGGCAGAAATTTCTGTACACTACTATGAACCAGATGCCTGTGACACAGCACTCCTGTGTTGAACGAATGAACGAACACTGTATCATCTGATAACCTAGGATTTGATAGGAGACAGTGTATCTGGTCCAACTTCCTTATTTTGTAGGCAAGAAAACAAAAGTCCTGAGGGAAAACTACTTGTTCCAGGTTGAGAGCCAGTTATTAAAGAACAAACCATTATCTCCTAATTCTTAATCCAGCTCTTTCCCTTTTATCAGTGGCTTTCAAATCTTTGACTTCAACCCAAGAGAAATATTTTACATCAAGATGCAGTATACCCACATGAACATTTCACAGAATACAGGGTGGGCAAAAGTTTACAGTTTTAAGTATGCAAAACACAAGAGCTTATTCTTGTATTATTTACTGTATAATTGTCCATATGAACATGTTGGTCACAAAGCAACCAAATTTCATTTCATAATCCACTAATGAGTTAGTATAAAACTTGAAACACTGTACTAATTATATGCAATTTAACCAAAAAGGGTAGGGGAAAAGCTTTGTTTTTCTTCATTACACATCTTGTATAACTTGGGGGTAGAGGTATTTTTATGTGCAAGATTAAAGCAATGTGTCACTTAACAGCAGGGGGCCGAGGACCACGCACTCACAGCCTCACAATCAAGTGTACATGAGCATAACTAAAGTACATTATGCAGACACACACACACTGCTTGTCTCATTTATGAATTTATAAGACATGGGCAGCACAATTATTCTCTTAAGCTAAACAAATCGTAAAATGAGAATGAAAAACTGTAAATTATTTAAAAAATATTCTATATAAAAACCGTAACATTTAAAATTATTTTAATCTAATTCCACACTTCCACTACAACAAAGTTCCTTAGCAATGAATACTGATTTATATATTTGTTACTATTTATAAGGAAATTGCTCATGAACATCAACTTGCATAGCCAATGAGACATTTTAAAAAATTAACAAGAGGCCTGGCTGGCGTGGCTCTGTGGATTGAGCACCAGGCTATCACCCAAAAGGTTACCAGATTGATTCCCAGGCAGGGCACATGCCTGGGTTGCGGGCCTGGTCCCCAATAGGGGGCACGCGAGATGCAACAACACACTGATGTCTCTCTCCCTCTCTTGTTTCCTTGCCCTCTCTAAAAATAGATGAATAAAGTCTTAAAAAAAAAAAAAAAAAAAAAAAGACAAGTGAAGAAGCTCCTATAATTATGTAGGCATGAGGTACTGAGGGCCAACAATCATCAGCTGCAACTGAAATAAAAGGATACAGAGGCTTTCTGATATCCACCTATCCTCATGTCCTACTGGTTCTACATTCAAAACTTTTTTTCAAATTTCTCCTCACAATTCCCACTGCAAGCCTTCATTTTTATTTCTTGACTTCTAACTGAACCCATCTGATCCAGTGATGTGACTGATAAGTTAACACCAGGTGTAAGGTGTCACCAATAAATTTGGTACTAATAAGGCTACTAACTTGGAGGGAAAAAGAGCCTCATGGACACATGTATCAGTGTGGTGACTGTGGGGGGAGGGTGGACGTGGAAGAGGGTATAGCGGGAAAAATGATGATGGAAAAAAAATATCAGTAAAAAAATAACTTTAAAAAGACTAAGTTGGATGCTTTTACTACTAAGAAGTTATAGTCAGCCCTGACTGGTGTGGCTCAGTGGATTGAGCACTGGGCTTGAGAACCAAAGGATCACGGGTTTGATTTCCAGGGCAGGGCACACGCCTGCGATGCTGGCCAGGTCCTCAGCTGGGGGCGTGCAAGGGGCAACCACACACTTATGTTTTTCTCCCTCTCCTCTTTCCCTTCTCCTCTCTCTAAAAAAATAAATAAAATCGTAAAATTTTTTTTTTAAAGTTATAGTTAAAAGTTGCTCACTCTTCTGCTTCAGATGCAAAGAATTGTAAGGAGAGAACAGCCAACTTTAACAAGAAGATTCTAGTTCATTATCCTGTAATATAAAAAATCTAGAAGGGGCAGTTTTTAAGGTTAAGAATCCAATAAAACTGTAAAATTTTACCATACCTTTGCTATATCCACGTTAAAGCACCTGAACTATATATTCTTAGTGAAACTACTTTGGTCAATGTTCATTTTAAAGTTTTATAGGCATATATCATACATTTTAAAGATATAAGAAGTCCAAGGTTGCTTGGAGAGTCAGGTAATCATACATCTGTGTATTGATTTTAGACAATGAGAATTGTTTAAAAATTCTGGCATGTCGGGTGTTCTAACTACTTAAGGGCCCGGGATCCTTGAGTAACCCAGTGGCTAAAAGTTGCTTAGAATGGACAGTTTTGTTTTTTTGAAGCCAGGCACAATGTAACCAAGAGACGGGTTAAAAACAAAACAAAACAAAACAGAACAGAACAAAACAAAACAAAACAAAACGAGTGCAAGTAAGTCTTCTAAGAAAGAAGAGGCCTCTGGGGGCCCTGAAGTGCTCTCCTGACCCAAACTGTAAGGAAAGAAGTAGGTAGGAGAGAGGTAAGAGAAATTGTTCACCGAGTAGGAACAGCAGGCAGGTCAGTTTCAGCCACATCACTGCCAGGAGTCATCAATCCCTAGGTCATGAGCACAAACATTAAACCCCATCAGCGGGACAGCCTCAAGCTGAGGAACACTGAATCTTCAGTTTCCTTGGCTTTAAAGAAGTTTTTACTAGCCTGACCAGGAGAGGAAACCAAGGTGCCCCAGGATTCTGTCCAGAAAAGGGTGGGTCACAGAAAACAACTGGGATTCTATGACTGTGGTGGTTAGACATATTTCTTTGACTTTAACCTTCCGAGCATGTATGGAGCAGGACACTTGTTTTTCATAGGCACGGTAATTTATAAACGGACAAAACCTATTCTGACTGGGTCTACAATACTGCTGTGTGTTTGTGTATACATGTATTTACATATATAATAGGTACTGAAGTTGATATATTTTATTATACAATATAAAAATTACACTTCCTGTCAATCTAAGATTTCAAAAACTTTTTTTTCCCTTGGAAACTCGTTATTTTATCATATGGCAAAAATGTTATCAGTGGTTTCCCTTGAACCAACTGGCCCATTTCCTTTATTTTTTTTTGAGAAAAATGTCTGCCAAATAGTCAAGTCTAAATAGTGAATCTCTCAATTGTTCTTTAAAGTAAGAACCGTTCTCATAAAAAACAGGTTAGGTCAGCTTGAGACTGAAACAACTACAAACTACTTTGGTATGCAGAAAGTACTTTATTCATATTTCCCATTTTGTTACACAGAAATGCTAATTTTTTAAAAATTTAGTAAGATTTTTCTGTTTTAACAACATTTGTAAGTGAAACTGGTGTTTTAAACTGCAAGTGCCAACAACTACTAGTACAATTTGATAACAGTGCACGCTAAGGCATCAGCAGTGTTACCCATCACTGCTTTTGAACCATTAGTGCAAATGCCAACACAGTGAAAAACCCAATGTCTTAATGTTTTTATGAAAATATCTTTATACATACACACATATGTGTATATGCTTTCTCCTATGTAAACAAAGTGTTTAAGCTACCAGTGTTATATTTTGGAGGGACTAGGAAAACATGCTGAGTTGGAGCAACCTACTCACAAAACTAGTAAAGTGAACAATGTTAATACTACTCTGCAGTATAACGGAACCATTCTGTCTTTTCTAGTTAATGTAAATTAGAGGGAGTAGTATTGCTAAAAAGAAAGGAAAAAAAAAACAAACCTCTGAGACAACTGAAAGGGTCTTTGGAATTTCCCAGGGCTCTATGACCCATACAACTGTACTACACTAATACAGTTATAGAAAAATAGTCTTGAGAATGTTCTACACGAGGATAAGCAACTTCCCTTGGTCTTGTAATCTATTAGGAAGAATGAAAGAATCCACTTTTAGAAGGAAAAGAGGGATAAGAAAAGGTGGTTAAAATCATGGAAATAGGCTAATAAAAAACATACAGTGGAAATAAATCACATCAATTATACTTTTAAGTATTCTATTTCTGCCCTGATTTCACAAGGGAGCAGGTTAGGTACTATAACAAGTTCAGGCAGAATCAACATATTTGACAGCCAAGTGGGAGTTTCTTAATGAATAAATGAATAGATGGATTAATTAATTCCGTAATAACAAAGTTCTTTAGATAATCTAAGATACTGCTCATTACACGTATTAAGCTCTCACTATCCTAGGAGCTACAAAGGAAAAAAACTCATCCACTTAAGTATTGAAGGTTCAGCCCTCCCATTTGAGACAGCCTCTCTCAAACAGAAAAGAAAAAAGTGAACTGCCTCTTGGTGGACACATGCAGCTAACACAACACTAGACAATGTGAAGTTCTATTAACACATTTAAAAATATATTTCATATTGTTTATATATTCATTTGCAAACAAAGTATTAAAAGTACAACTAAAATTAAACTTTACTGACATCCTTCTTCAGGCTGCTGTGAGTTGCCTCCATAACTCAATTAACATAACCAATTACCTTACAAACTCTGAATATTAACTCTGGCAAAACATAATGGGGCCAAAGGGTGTCTTAAAGAAAGCACAAGGTATGCGTGTGAGTATATCACCCACACTCAAGGTCCAGCGCCAGTCTGTTTTGAATGTTCCTGATTTAATAATACAGCCACTACATGATTATAAATCTCTCTGAGGTCCTGATAAACACATACTTGAATAAATACTATTATTTATAATTATCAGGAAAACAATCCAAAGGCTCCACATTCAGACAACTGTTACCTAAGATTACATGTCACTGTGAAAGGTTACTTAATTCTTATAAAATAGTTTCATAATTTAATCCAAACAATATGTGTTTACCCAGATAAACAGCTAAAAAAAAAAACCCACAAAAAACTCTTTTTTTCAATTATTATTAAAGTAAAAACAAAATTTCCTAAATCCTAATTTACTTGATTCTATCAGGATAAAAGAAATGAAATCTGACCAAGCCACTGTAAGACATTAAAGAATTAGACATCTTCAATTAAGAACAATGTCACTGACACACCCTGATTTGCATTTCCATTATGTTTAGCATAAAGACTTCCCGAATTGTCACCAGAGTTGATTTTATATAATATAGAGCTGGAAGAATCTTTAGAAATTTACTTGTTTTTAAATTATATTTTATTGATTATGCTAATACAGTTGTCCTGATTCCCTGCCCAACTAAGGTTGTTTACTTCTCATTTACATGCATGAAAAACTGTTTGACCTTGGGTAAGTCCATTTTTCACACCTCAGTATTTTTTCCCTATTTTGACAGGGATTAAACATGTGATTTTTACAATCCTTCCTACTTCTAATATTTTTCTAAAACAGATTAAATAAGGTTTTATATTGAGCAACGTATGCAAGGAATTATAAATGTAAAATCAAGTAGAAATGCAAAGGAAGGGAATTTACAAGGCAGTACCTCGTTTAATATTCTAAAGGACCTGCAAAGACTCTTTCTGGGAGGAGGGGTTCCTAAACCTATTTATGTTTGGATGTTGCAAAAACTCTCCATTCCTGTCTTTAAAGAAAAAGCTAACCGGATGGGCCTTTACATGTATTAATAAGAAAAGTTGACGTTCCTAATCCAAACTGGGAAGTTAGTGCAATCAAGCAAACATTTCAAATAAACGTGCCCTACCACTAAGAAAACGATGTACAGATCTTGTATGCAGAGTACTAAAAAATGTTACAGAACCTAGAGAAAGGCCTTAGAAATCATATAGTACGACTTCCCATTTCACAATCGAAGCAATAAAAAAATCAAGGGGTTTGTTCATTTTTTCACTGGAAATAGTGGCTAGAGTAGTGCAGTATCCTAACTTTCAGGCATTTGCTAGCGATGTACTTACAAGAAGGAATCCAATTAGCTGCCTAACAAGGCATCTTTACATCTATATGGCTAAATGATTTTATTTCACAAGATTATTGGTAAATGAGTCAGCAATGTGGAAACCAGACTTTGCCTAAACTGGACATCACGGATTAAAAGAAATAGTTTTAATGTCAGAACAGAGGTTGGCTCATAACTGGAGTGCAGCAAATGTCTGTTGAATGAATGTGCCAACAACCCAAGTAAAGTAATGCCATCGTTGGCAAGAGTCCATGTATCCAACTCAAATCAAGACACTGTGAATAAAAATGAGTATGTATTACCTTAATATTCTTAAAAAGGTGATTTAAAAACAAACTATGGCTTAAGGAGATGCGACTTCATATGGTCATACAGGCAGAAAAGAAGTTGTGCCTCAGCATAGTTCACCGTAGTCATTTTTGATAACTTTATCATCCTACAGATAACTCCTACACTTAAATTATTACGATTCCCCTAAATAATTTGGAAGGAACAAACCTGAAAAGGAGACTAAACTGACTCAAGAAGATATCTGTACCACTCAGTCTGGCACTCTAAGGACTTCGGTTCAGTCCTAATCTTGTACACACAATTCCGTCAAAGCTTTTGACCTCTCCCTACCTCCATACTTTTCTCTAAGCAAAGGAAAAGCAGTTGGTGCAGCAGAGGATTGGTTTTCATGAAAAGAATCTGACCTCAAAAGCACTGCCGCTTTGCACCGCACCTCGTAACCTGGAGAAGCTGGCGAAGGAAATTTTCCAAGAGCTAGAACCCTAGTTACCGCGGGAGAGGGAGCACCAAAGCCTCTAGTGCCAGGACCCACCCCGGCAGAGCAGGGCCCGGAAATCTGCTGCTGGAGTCAGGGACGGGGCCCGAGAGACTTGAGGAGACCCCGTAGCCCGCACGGCAAGAAGGGAAGGAGGAGGCGGCCACGGCGCCCATTTTGTCCTCGGCCTCCCCACTTCCCGCCTGGTTCCCTCCTTACCCGCCAAGCAGCCTACATGAGGCCCGCAGCTACACTCCACCCGTAGGCCCGCAGGCCAGACACCCGCTAGGAATCCGCACGCGGCCAGGGTGAGCCCTGACCCCAGGGACACTCGTTGACCCCAGCCCCGCCCGCTACGCCTCAGGCCCCAGTCTCGCTCCACCTCCGCAGGCCCAAAACCTCACGTCTTTCCTCGGCTTCATCCTCCCAACCCTCCCCACCAGGGCCGCAACCCCACCATCCTGCGGACATGAATCCCCCCCACCCCCCACTCGTCTCAGGCCACGGCCCTCAGTCTCTGCCCAGCCCTAGCCCACACGCCCCGCCTGTACCGTACCCTCCGGCAAACAGATGCACCAGCGTGTCCCTCTGGCTCATTCTCTCTCCCGCATGTCCTCCGGGCGCTGAGGCTGGCGGCTTCGGCCCGGGACTGGAGCCGCACAGCGCCCCAAGGGCCGCGAGGGAAGCTGGCAGATATGCGGCTACAGAAAGTGACCGGCGCGGCCCTCCGAGCACCTTGGAGCCGCGCCGCCTCCTGCCCAACCCCTGCGTTCGCGACCTGACCCAAACCGGAGCGCGGAGGCGGCGGGAGGGCCGGCTGGGTGCGGGGGCGGGAATATGTCGGAGACCCTCCCCTCCCCCCATATAAACAGAAGCTCCCATTGGTCCGCTCCGCTTTACGTCACGATTCAGGCATGCCTGTTTCACGTGATCGCTAAGGGGTTTTCAATGAAAGGGGCCAGTAGGCGGGGCCAGAGCGCGTGCTGTGAGGGTAGTGGGTCATTGTGCCCTCGCACCTAATCCTCCTTCACCGCACCCCACGCCGTCTGCGCCCACGTGGGCGCACAAAGCCGGTGCACCACGCTCCTCCCCAACTACGTCAGAAAATCCCCTGGATTCCTGGTACGCCGGCCTAGTGGGGGCGCGAGCCTGCCTGATTTTTTTAAAAAGATATATTTTTAGAGCTAAACAGGTTTACAACAAAATTTATAATCCCCACTGACCCCTTTTTAAATCACTTTTTAAAAGTGGAATTTATGAGCCACATTTTTGCCTCTTGGTGTCACCTCAGTAACAATGCATGAAAAGGCTTGTACAAGGACACTCGTGCAAGATCACAGTATTTACAAACAATATAGTGGAAAATCGAATCAACAGGGAAATGGAGAATTAAATCATGAAACAGTCCTATGTGAATGTTATACAAGTATGACAAGGTGGGGTAGATCTGTGTGGGGGAAAATCTCCAAGCCTATTAAAACAGGAAAATATTAAGACACTAAGGTTTATTTTGGAAAGAATAAAGGCATTTACTCATTCTTCTAATTAGCAAATGTTTCATACATACACACATATACAGATCAAATATTAAGGGAAAGAAAATTTTATTTCTCCAAAACATGGTGATTAAATATTTAAAATGTTAACTGTTAATTCTTTCTAAGGTGCAGAACAGTAGAGAGAATAACATAACACATAATCTGTACTCATCACCCACACTAAACAAACGTTAATGTTTTTCACCACTTTGGTAACCTCCATTCTACCTGTAAGTCCCTCACCCTCCTTTCCTATGCATATGTGATGATTCAGGGCTCAACAATCCTTTCCTCCCTGGGCTACTTCTTTCATGAAGTCTTCCCTGATTGCCTCAGCTCTGTATGCTCTTTACTTCTTCTAAATTCCTGCAAAATATATAGATTGCAAGCCACTGGCAAGTGTTCACCCACTCCACAGTAAATGTTGATCTGTAAAAGAGGCATGAAAGTACTCACCTCATAAGGTAGTTGTAAGGACTAAATATGTCAAAATATGTAAAGCAGCCTACAGGAGTGTTATATAAGGCCTACAAAGAATAATTAGTAGTCTTTTACTGCCTTGCATTCTTAGTAACAAAAATGACAGCTGAGATTTCTTGAGCACTTACTAATGTGCTAGGCTCTGATCTAAGCCGTTTACAGCGTTCGCTTATTAAATTCTCACAACTAACCTATGACGTGTGTGACATTCCCCCAATTTTTCATGAGGAGACGAAAGTGTAAAGTAATTAAGTGACTTGCCCATTATTATCCAGTTAATCCAGAAGGAGCTTGGATTTGAATCCAGCAGAGTTTCTCTGATTCCAGAGCTTCAGTTGGTGAAGTGATAGCTGCCCATTCGAGGGGAAAAATTGGAAAAAACCAGAAAAGTAGAAATAAAACTTGGCTCCCCGGTCATACTTCCCCAAAACCATCATATTAACATTTAGTGGGTATTTCTTTTTTTAATGGCAGCTTTATTGAGGTATCATTCACATGCCATAAAACTCTCCTATTTAAAGTGTACAATTTAGTGGGTTTTACTATATTCTTATGGTTGTACAACCATCACCACAACTCAGTTCCAGAATGTCTTTCTTACCAAATAAGAAACCCCACACTTGGTAGCAGTCACTCCCATTCTCCTCTCCACTGCCTGACAACCGCTAATCTACTTTCTATCACCCTGGATTTGCATAATCTGGATTTTTCTTATAGATGGAATCATACGATAAGTGGCCTTTTGTGTCTGGCTTTTTAAAAAACCAAGCATAATGTTTCCAAGGTTCATTCATGTTATAGTGTGTATAAGTACTTCATTATCTTTTATGAATAATTATGACTGAATTATGACTTAGAAATTATGACTGAATAATTTTCCATTATATAGACAGATATACCACATTTTATTTATCCATTCTCAATTGATGGCCATTTGGATGTTTTCCATTTTGGCATTATTATCATGAATAATGATACCATGAACATTTGTGTACAAATTTTAGCCCAGACATATGTTTTCAATTCTCGAATATACCTGGGAGTGGAATGGTCGGTCATAAGATAACTCTATGTTTAACCCTTTGAGTAACTGCCACACTGTTTTCCAAAGTGACTGCACCATTTTAGATGTATATCTTTTAAGATAATAGCTTTGGCTCCAAGTTTTTGACATAGTGAATGCCATAGTTACTGCCTTTAATGAAGCTTCTGAAACTGGTAAGGAGGGAGTCAGAGTTCTCATATGCAATAGCAGTTACTCCCTTAATAAGAAATAACACTTATAATGTAACCATTTCCTTTTGAACGTCCTTCAGCTGCCATCGTGGAAGCAGACTCTGCCCCAGATGGAGTCATGAGGGCAGTTGCTCCTGAGTGCAGGTTTGATGTCTCATGGGGTCACTACCCCATCAGCTGCTCTGTGTCACATTTTGAGTTTATGATAGTTAAAGGTCCTTCTAATACACAGGTGACAAGCAGAGATAGCACTGGAAATAGATAACAAGCTTGTAGAAATGCATTTTTCACTACAATGAATTAGCACTTTGCTTTTAAAAAAACACTGTCTCTCAGGGACCGCCAATTCAGGAGTGTGCCCCAGCAGGCTTGGGAAAAATTAACCAACTTTCTAGGACAAGAGTATTCCAAGGGTGGGGCGATCTCGAGAAGAAATACATAGATTTTGTTGAGATAAGGGTGTAACACGTTTTAATTTTATCTAGATAATGCTTGGGAATTCAATATTTTGTAGTAATACACAGGTAGTACCCTATCTCCCATTTAAGAACTTATGCAAGGGCCCTACCAAAAGTACCTGCTTTGTCCTGGCTGGTGTGTCTCAGTGGATTGAGCACCGGCCTGCGAACCAAAGGGTCACCGCTTTGACTCCCAGTCAGGGCCCGTCCCTTGGTTACGGGCCAGGTCCCCAGTAGGGGGCGCATGAGAGGCAACCACATGTTGCTGTTTCTCTCTCTTCCTCCCCCTCTGTATACAAGTAAATAAATAAAATCTAAACAAATAAACAAACAAACAAAAAGTCCCTACTTTGAAAACCAATTCATCTGTTTGCATTGGGATCTTGCTTTTAGCATTAATTTTTTGTTTTTATTACAAAGTAATAAAGACAGACAATCCAATTCACAAAATGGGCAAAAAACTTGAATAGATGTTTCTCCAAAGATTTACAAATGACCAATAAGTACACAAAAAGATGCTCAACAACAATACTCATTGGAAAAATGCAAATCAAAATCAGAATGAGATACTGATTCACACCAATAGGATGGCTATTATAAAAAGACAAAACAAACAAAAACAGAAAATACCTAGTGTTGGCCAGGATGTGGAGAAATTGGAACCCTATGAGTTGCTGGTGGGAATGTAAAATGGTGCAGCTTTGTGAAAAATGGATGGCAATTTCTCAAAAACTTAAACAGAATTACCAGATGATACAGCAATTCCAAGTTCAGTTATATACCCCCAAAGAACTGAAAGCAGACACTCAAGCAGACACTTTCACACCAATGTTCATTGCAGTACTATTCTCAATAGCCAATAGATGGAAAGAACCCATGTGTCCATCATCAGATGAATGGATAAACAAACTGCGGCATGAATGATACATACAATGTTGAATATTTATTCAGCCTTAAAACAGGGAAATTCTGACACATGCGACAACAGAGGTGAACCTTGAAGACATTATATAAAGTGAAATAAAGAATCACTAAAGGACAAATATTGTATGATTCCACTTATATTAAATACCTAGACTAGGCAAATTCATGAAGAGGGGAAAAAAATAGTGGTTGCCAGGGGCTGGGGGAAGGTGGAATAGGAGAGTTAGCATTTAGTGGGTATGAAGTTTCTGTTTGGGATGATGGAAATGTTCTGAAGATGTCAGTGGTGATGTTTGCACAATAATGTCAATGTACTTAATGCCACTGAATTGTATGGTCGGAAATGGCTAAAATGGTAAATTTTGTGTTATGGATACTTTACACAATACAAAAATGAAATCAATGTCCATGGTTGTCAAAAAGTAAATATACAGCATTAGAAAAGTTATAATGAAAACTATCAGACTCCCTACTGCATTCCTTCCTTTTTCCTCATTTTTGCTCCTAGAGGTAGCCACTTTCAACTTTTCACTTTTTCTTTAGTTTCATATTTCTCAGTAAAAGCAGTTCGTCCTGTTTTTCTTGGTTTATTAATTTCAGACATCATCTATTACACTTCTGATAATAATAGATGCAGATTTACATTTTTTGGTCCACTCCTCTATTCTTTATCTTCCCTTCTCCATCTTCCCAATAGTCATATCACAATTTTTTAGTTAAATCGACAATTACTTAATCTTATTATGACTATATCAATTTTGTTCCCTGAACTATGTCAGTTTTGTCCCCTAAAAGAAAAATATGATGTACCTATTTTTCTTGCACAAAGTTTTACTTTCCTTGGTTAAGAATTGTACTTTTTTTCCCATATGCTTAATTTTCACTACCTATCTTTAATTTTTTTCTACATAGTACATCATATCTAGCAATGACCCAATAATAAAATTTTCATAATGTTTTAACTTTCGGTCTATCAATCCCATTTTCCCCCTCCCCCTAGAGAAGTCCCTGCTGTATCCTCCCATCTTCTTGCTTTGACCTGCACAGTTGTCATCCTGGGATTTATATCTCTCTACCAGTTTCCTGGATCTCATAGGTTTTTTAAAAAAATTTTTATTTGCTACTTTATTTTGCTGATGTACATCCTTCAGCAGCTGCCAAAGAAAAGGTGCA